TCATTAATTAATAATATATTTTTAAATTATTAAATATATATTTATTGAATATTATAAAAGATAAAGCTTATACATTAAAAAATATACCTAATTATATTTATCATTCTTCAATATTTAATACTAAAATTTAAGAAACAGATATATGATTATAGAAGATTATCAAAAACATAAAACAATTTCTGAAATTCAATTAGAAATTATTGTGAAAATTGAATAATTAACGATATAATAATTAGTGTATTATTTTTTTAACTAGGAACATGAAATTAGGTATAATATAGATATAAGGACAAAATACTAGATTGTAGATGATGAAAATTAGATTTTTATAAATAGGATTGAATATTCAAAAAGTTTAAGTGAGTTAAATGTATAGAATCCATTTAATAAATAATTTGGTATATGTTAGAATAGATTTCATCTATAATATTTTCTTAATCAGAAAATGAATTAGTGAATGGATCTAATAAAGGAATTTTAATTTATTGGGATATATAACATAAAAAAGTATAAATTGTTAACGATATTAGTTTTATAAAATGTAAAAGGACATTTATCAGGAATTAGTTATTTATGTATATCTCCAAATGATAATAATATATTAAGATCTGGAGGAATGGATAGTTATATTAAGATTTTGGATACACGATAATAACATAGTGGATTAACATTACGATCTCATAAATTATCAATTAATAGTATGATAGTATCTAAATTTTAAAATTGTTAGCTTCAGGTTCAAATGATGGAAGTGTAAAGATTTGGGAAATAACTACCTCAAAATAATTGGCATCATTTAATGAATCAGATTGGCCTATAAGTCGTGTTTAATTTAACCCTGTTGATAAAGCTATTGCAGCATGTTCAGATGACGTTTGTTAAGATATTAGTCCAAATAAATAATGTATATATACATAAAGTTTAGTGAAAATGGTCAATAATTATTTTCCTCTTAAAACTTCTCTTTAAAAGTATGGGATATGGAAAGAGATGTTTTATTATTAGATTATATCGATAGTTAATGGAAATGTATTTAAGATTTATATGTTTTTGATAATAAAGATATAATTGGATTAATAACATAAAATTAAATAAGTTTAAATATATTTGGAACGAAGATGATTTATAATATTAATAATGAAAAATATATATATAAAAATCATAGTGAGAAAGTACAGTATAAATGTATTAAAACCAAAAAATACTTAAATATAAATATATGGAAATATTTTAGAAGAATAAGGCTTTTAACGATGTAATAATAATACAAATAAATTTTTACCTACAAGTCAAGTTGAGTTGAGAATTAATTATGAAAGTGTTATTTAAGAAGAAAATATCAAATATAATTATTATTTTCATAACACTCTTCATTTGATATCACTTGTTTAAATTAAAGTTTTTAGTTTTCTTGTCTTAATTTATATTATATTTTTTCTTGATAATTTCTATTTTCCTTCCATTTTCTAAATTCAGATGACTAATTTATTTTATTTTAATAATGTACTTATGATAGATTCTTAATTATTTCTAAGAAAATTCCACTAAAATTACTGAATCATATTCATTATTATTATTATTTTAATGTAATTACAAAACACAATGTTGAAATATAATTGTCTTACAATCTAAAATTCTTAAATAGATCAAATTTCAACATCTATTCATGATGCATCAAATAAACATTAGTATCGATCAATTAATATTCTAATATTCTATGATCTTTCAATAAGTCTTTACTTACTCTATTTAATTATTCTATATCTTATAATTTCTCTGGTATTATTTATCCTGATAATACTTAATATCTATTATATTTAACAATATTTTTTATTTATATATATTCTTTTATCTAAATAATTATAATTCTTTAAATCTTAAATTTATTTTGGGAATTTATTTTATTTCAATTCTGTTTGATGACTAAAATAATCAATAAAATAAGTCCATCAGTTAATATTAATTTTGATCCATTTTAACCTATTTTTGTTAATTTATCTCCATATATATATGGATTAATCTAAGTTAAATTTAACAGATAAATTTA